AGGGTCGCTATGAGTTGCAAACGACTCGACGGTACATAACAACAACAAGGCAGCCAAACTCCCCTCTATTGTATTATTATGTTTAAATTATATTCAACACAATATGCACACGGACTCCACAAACAGCACACATGCACATACTCAAAGCAAACTAGATTTATCACTGTAGTAATAATACCTAGCACGTATATAGCACACCTGCCCTAGCAATCCCTTCCATACGTCGTAAGATGCCATTGAGTTGGCTCTGACTCATGGGGAACATAAGTCCAACCGAAAGAAACTCTGCCCAGTCCTGCGTTGTCCTCACATTTTCCGCTGTGCTTAAGCCCATTGTGGCACTCACTGCCATCTATCTTGTTGAAGGTTTTCCTCTTTTCCACTGACCTGTTTTTCCAAGCATGATGGCGTCTTCCCACGGACTGGACCTTTCTGATAACAAGCCCGAAGTACGTCAGATGAAGCCTCACCATCCTTACTTTGAAGGAGCAGTCTGACATATTTGTGGTTTTGGTAGTTTATGGTATATTCAATATTCTCCACTGACACCACAATTCAAAAGAATCAAGTCTCCTTTAGTCTTCCTTATTCATTGTTCGACTTTGCGTACCAGATGGTTGAAAATACCGTGGCTTGGGCCAGCTGCACTTTAGTCTCAAAGTAACGTCTTTGCTCTTTAACCTTTTAAAGAGGTTCTGAAGCAGACTGACCCCATGTGGTATGACACTTGATTTCTAGACTGCTGCTTCCATCAGCATTGATTGTGAGCCAAGTAAACAGAAATCCCTGATAACGTCAATCTTTATAATTTATTATGAGATTACACCAATCATTCACATGGTGGGCTGATACAGTGAAACTTTGCTGTAAAGGGCCTCTAGTCAGAGTATAACTATTAAATGTACTCACCACAGAGTTTATACATGGTATACAGCTTATATGCTATTACTCATAAAATATACCCAGTACTCATAGAATAGGGAGCTCTGGTGTTTTAGTGGTAAGATATTACACTGCAATCTCAAAGGCACATGGTTCTAATCCACCAGCTGCTCCACAAGAGAAGGATGAGCGATCTCCTTCCATGTGATTTATTCTCTTTGAAAATACACTGGAGGGTCAGCTATGAGTCAGTTCTTTTTTTTATTTTATTATTTTTGTGTGAGTGTACCGTCAAATCAGATCTGACTGGTACAGGAGGAGATTGTCCCTCCTTCCCCGGCAGAGCATCTGGTGGATTCGAACCGT